ATGCTTGTTGAAACCGGTCTCATATCAGTCCTCTAAAAAATGAACTTAAAGCCAGCGGCTGGTTAGCTTAGCACAGAGACTGGAAAGGGGGGGAAAAGCTAGCCTAGCTTTTAGCCTAGCTCTGTAAAAAATACACAGACAACAACTTGTATACACCTTGTTTTTTTGTAGGCACTAAGCAAACAAGATACGACATGTTTGTGAGCTAGAGAGCTGCTGGTAGTAGGATTTTGTTACCTTTGGACAGAACCATGTTAGCTGTTGATTCCAACCTTTATGCTAAGCTACTGTAAGCTAGCCCACTGCCGGCTGTAGCTTCATAAAAGTTAGCGTCTTGACGTCACGGCGGGGTTAGCCTCCGTTAAATGAAAATGAAACACGCTAAACAATGATATTAGAAATTGAAACATTTGTGGTTTTAAACAAGTTAAACAACAATTACTTTGTGAAAATACAAACAAAAACACTGTTCCCATCAAAATTTACCAGGGCGGCGGCAGCAGTTGTGTTCCTATCGATTATGATCACCAGTAAATCTTTCAACTTCCTAGTTGTAATCTCTGCTATCTGCTTGTCTAGGGCTTATGGGAAATGTTGTCTGTTAAATATGTTGTTGTTTTTTGGTTTTAAATACCATCCTTGTTGAGACATATGGAGTGAGCCACACAACATACTGTTGCGTAAGCTTATGTTCCAGGGATGGAGTTTTTAAGTTATCAGTGTAGTAACAAATCTCAGTGGGATTTTTAATGAGGTTGTTGTGCAGCAGAAGTTCCTGTTTCACTTCTATTTTGTGCGTGTGTATACCCTTTACATATTTTATAACACATTATTTTCTATACTAACATCTTATTACTTAAAGCAAGGTAAAGGTTGATGGGGAGATTTTTGTTTTTACCTCAGGCTATCTGTTACCTCCAGTGTTCAGTAAAACTAAGATAAGCTAACCAGCTGCTGGCTGTAACTTCATATTTTACAGACAGACCTGAGAGTGGTATTGATCCTCCCATCTGAGTATTTCTCAAATGTGTCACAGTATTGCCTTAAGTTACCACTTCCAGTAATGCTTACCTGTGAATCTTTACTTAAATCACGTGAATGCACGCCGATATTCTTGTTGCTAAGGCATGCATTAGCATTTAATTTATTGTTTAGTTTGTCTAAAAAGCACAATTTCTTTGCAACATACCACCTATGGCCCTCATATATTTCCCTTTACTTTGAGTCTATATAACTCCAGTATATATTTTCACTCAAGCATGAAATTACATTGTTTAGTTATCAAAGGCTTTGTGTAATTACATTTGTGCAATTCAGGATGACAGGGCTGATAGTGTCTGCACAAGATGCTGGCATACATAATCACAGCCAAAATCCCATTAGGGAGAATGGAGACCATTATTATGGAAATGACCTTTGGGTGACAAGAATTCACTGGGATAAAAGAGTATGTAATCCAGACAAAGACATCGTGTGAAGCCATTCTCTTTATTTTCTCCTGTGCAAATTTAAGAAATTTAGGGTTTTTTTCTGAATCTGCAAGTGTTTTTTTGTTTTTTTGTTTAGTTTTGTATTCTTATGCAAAACAAGACAGTCTTTATCATATGGTAGTAATTTCTTCCTGCTTCTCTGCTGTTTGATACTGTGAGTAACGGCAGGGCTAAGATAGCAGAAGAAGAACTTAACAGTGTTTTTCTTTTTCTTTTTTTTTTTTTTCGCTGTGGCACCTTCGCTGAGAGAACATACTCACCCTGGGATTACTGGAGTGTCAAGCTGTATCTCTGTCTGTTTGTTTTGAGCCACGCTTTGATACTCTCACACTAAAGAGGCAGCTTCATAAATTCACATTGTGTCAAATAAATCAATAGATCCCATTAGCTGAGGAAGTTGTGTAGTGCAGTACTTGAGGGACCGTGGCCCCCTTGTTTAGACATTTCTCCAGCAAAAGGCGATGGCAGAGGAATATAAGGTTGGCTGTTGATCCATACAGACAGCTCCAGCAGTTGAAATGGTTTGGCTGACTGGTCCCAGTTGGTCTTTAGCGCTGTCTCCACTGTGCTGCCAGCCTGGGTTTTCAGTTGAACAGGAAGAAGGAATTTGCTTAGACATTCACAGCCTTACAAGCCTACAGCACCAAACTCTTCCTGCTCAATCAGTTTGTTGTCCTGCTAGACTTTAAGTTCTGAATTAAACAACGTTGAGTCACAATGAATCCATCTTTTTATTTTTAATTTTAATTTTATTTTTTAATGTCCATTGTAATGGTCAACGGGACTTTGTCTACTGTTAGGTTGCAACTGACAATTATTTTCAGTCACTGTGTAGATTATTATCAATCAATAGTGTTGTCTACTATATGTCAGAAAATACCAAAAAATACCAATATTGACCAATATTGTTTTGTCCGACAGTTCAAAACCCAAAGACGTTCACTTTACAATGCCTTGTAAATGTAGATCAGAGAATCGCACTGACAGGGTCTAACAATAATGCTTGACCTCTGCGCTCAGTGTCGTTGTGATGGACGCAGGTTGCGGACTTTGTCTCTAATCACTTTCACCTGCTATTATAGTCACATTGCCCTTAAAGAAAAGTCATATAACATTACTGCCTACACAGTTACCTAGATTAATGAAATAAATAATTCAAGCTAAAAAAAAAAAATTTGCAGGCAAATGTTATGGCATTTTCACAAAATTAGATTGTGCACAGTGGAGAATAACAGGAAGATGAAAGAGAATAGGGCATGACATGCGCTGAGGTTGTGAGCCAGACTCAAAGCCATACTGATGTGAGTACATGGCATGCTTCCCAACCCACCGACTATCACGGCATACTGCAGGAGATCATTTTTAACTCCATAACTTGAGTTGATGTCACTTTTGCTGTTAGTAAAGTAAAAATCAAAGCTTTTATTATTATGGCAGTGGAGTTTACAGTTTATTAGGTACACCTCTAACAATCTTATTTCATCCAACACAACAGCCTTGCAACAACTCCCATCTCTATAAAAGTTGAAAACTGTACGGCACCACGATTCTGCACGACTGCATTGGTGTATACTGAGATGTGTTTCAAATGATTTGTCCACTTCATTTACATAATAGGCATGAGGTAGGCAGAATATTAGAAACAGCTCTCAGCACTAACCGTTCCCTAAATGATTAATAAATAGCTGAATTAATGCCTCTTTGACAGTGTCAACAAAACTAAATATTATAAGCTTTATAAAGGTATTCGGTTGCATAGGATCATACAGATGTGCCTAATAAAGTGGCCACTGAGTGTGGCTGGTATTTTCTAATACTTTGTTCACCCAGGACAGATTATTAAAAAAAATGTGTTATGTCTTAAAGGCTTCAAAAAAATGTAGGTTGTTGTATCGGATTACATCAGATTGGACAGGTGTACCTAATAAACTGGCAAAAGGTTTATCTATAGCATGTGAATTTATTCCAATTTCAAAACATCATTTTCTATTCCTGTTGTCCTCAAAATGAGATGCAGACTTCATGTCCTGAAAGACGGAGAATGAAAACTGCTCAGTTCATAACTGAAAGGTGTTCTGTAGTTTGTTTTCCTTTGTCTAACAGAACACAAAAATAATGACGCTCCTTCTAAATCTCATTTACCAAATTGAAAAACAAGGCGAGTGTCTTGGGTCTTGGGTAAAATACGAAACAGGGTTCACAAAAGTACACAGCAGATTGATCTGTGCATACAGCTTAACCGTATTAAAGCTGATAATCCCTGTAAATATCTTCAGGTAAGGCAAAGTCAGCCTTTTAACATTGACTAAATGAAGTAAACAGAAGCAAATACATTTTTAAAAATCGCATTTCTGTTGAACCTCTGTTCGTTATAAATATAGAAGCGAGTTGTGTGAGTCGGCTGCTAATGAGGCTTGCACATTTTGAACCAAGATATTTTGATGGTTTTTGCCACCCTGCCGTTTTGGGGTAGTGAAGTTTGCTTTAAATATAGAGCGTCTGTTCCCCCTTCAAACCTCTAACACCACAACAGATGGGGAGAATATGGAGCTTGGAAGGTTTTACCTCAGAGGTGGTAACAGTGAAGCCACTCATTAACACTGAATTTACCACTTCGTTAGCAACGCAACTTCCTGTAGAGAGCGACCAGCCCTGGATGTCAAATCCACCGAGCTTACATTTTACACTAAATCAGCCTTGGACAGCACAGTGCAGTCTGTGATGAGATGTAGTATACACATGTTGAACTGTGTGCTGATTATGATCTTGTTCAATGATTCAAAGGCATCAATTTTAATATGTTTGTTCAAATAAATATGAATAAAAATAAGAAAAGAACCCTTGTGGCTTAAATTCAGCCATTCTTAAAAGAATTAGTATGCCTGTCCATGTGGATGTGCAAAGGTGTATGTTTTCTTTGTGTGCGTTTTACACAGATTGTGTGCCTGCCAATTTGGCAGGATTCAAGTAACAACAGTCTCATGCTGGGATCTGTGTTGGCACCATCACAGAGTGATAAGACACAATATGATCTCATTGGAGGTGTACTTTGTTCCCATGGAAATTGGTCAATTTTAGCAGACGACTGAGAACTTTAGGTGGAGAAGCAGGAAGGTTATATCCCAGAAGTACGCTCACATAATTAAGCATCCTCGCCAGGGTATTCAGGGCTAACAGCAGGGTTTGTTGTGAATAGAGGTGGCAAAAGAGGGTGTTGGAAAATCATAATGCAGCACAGAATAATACCACTCTCATTTTACGGAGCGGTGGGAATAGCCCAAAAAACTATTTTTTTCAACAGTACCATATTGTCAGTGTGAATGAGAAAGAAATAGATTTTATTGTACCTGTTGTACAGCAGTGTGTCCTTTTGTAATTTACATTATTTCATTTGGTAAATTGTCTTAGGATGAAAAAATAAAGTGGTAATATGCTTAGCTAGGATTATAAAAACAGAGATGTCTTAATAATATTGTGATGTTCTTTTATATTTCAGAAAGTACTGCTACTATGTCTGATCTGAAGCCAGATGTTCAAGAGGACAAAGACGTGGAATCAGTGTCTGACAGCCCGGGTCGTACTCAGGAGCCATTACAGAGTCACACGTTTTCTCTGAAAAACAATACTGCAGGTCTGTCCTCAGATGAACACGAAAACCCTTTAAATGGAACCCAGCCGAATCCATTTGTATACAGCAGTGTCCCCGCTGTTCCCCATGCAGGCAATTCATTGCCTTCAGGAGCACTTGTTAATGGGCCTGGTTCACACCCCACCTCAGAGGTACACTGTGTCCTGAACAAAGGCTCTGTTTTATCCAACAATGTCCTGGATGCCGCGTGGCAAGTGGAGAAGGACATGAGCCCCGAGGTGTTACCACCACCTAGTGAGCTTCAATCAGACGCTTGGAAGAACACAGCGGGGCTCGCTGTAAAAACACTGGCCACACAGCCAGGTGTCAACACGCCACTGTCTCACTCGGAGGAGAATGAGTCTAAACTGGCCTATTCCGCACTGTCAGGTGACAGTGCAGAGCAAATGCACATTAGCCAACCTCGGACAAAAAAGACAATAGAAACAGGATCTGGACGCGGCGTTGAATGGCCAGAAAACTCCTCTGATGATTGCGATGATGTTGAAGTAATCAGTTGGGATTCGTCAAGAGAGAGCTTCCTGCACACTGACAGAAGGCTGGAGACCAGAGTGATACACCAAAGAGACAGGCGCCACAATACACATGTAAAAAGCATGGCAGGCTCTCTGGAAAAGGTTAACAACAGCTTAAATCACACACGCAGACGTTGCTGCAGTGGTAATGATGTTGAAAACGTTGACATCGCCGGCAAAGCCGATTCTTTGGACACACAATGCGGTAATAAATATTCCGTGGTGCCATTCAAAGATCTCCCAGCTTTAAACTCTGAGCACCATATTAATAGAGCAGCACAGGAAGGCTGTAATGAGGAAAATGACCCTGAAGATGAAGACAATTTCAGTCCAAAAGTGGAGCAATCGACAACGAAGCAACTTGAGCGAGATCCGTCTTTCTTCTCATGCACAATATGCAATGTTAATTTCAAGGAAAAAAGACATTTCCATAGACATATGATGTATCATTTAGGCAAGCATAATCAGGTGAACAGTGAGAATGTTTCACAGACCTTTATATGCAGGGAGTGTGGGCGTCTGTTCTGTGATAGCAACTCCCTCATGAGGCACATCATTATTCACCAAGATAGGCTGGAAAAACTTATGGAGGAAATCAAGGGTCTCAAAAACACCGACAATGAAGACGGAGGCGCCGCAGTGCAGTGCCCTCAGTGTGTGTTTGGTTGTAAATGCCCCAAAATCTTTGTCCAGCATGCCAAAACGCATGATAATCTGAAGCACTATTACTTCTGTGAGGAGTGTAACTACATTTCACTCACACGGCAGGCACTTGAACTACACTTGCATGTCGCACACCTCGACACACACCAGCCTCAGTATGGGAAAATGACTCATACTAATGATGCAGAGGAAGCAGACCATGTTCAATTTCAGTGTAAGATGGGTTTTTTCACCAGCAGAGACAAAGTAACATTGGAAAGACATCCTGAGCTGGAGAATCCGCGATCACACTCTGGCGATTGTAGAAAGTTTGCCGACCAGCCCAAAATTGCTGGGAGTAGATCTGCTTTTGGAGAAGCAGCCCATTTCCCCCACTGCTCCGGTGGACACGGGGACATTAACGTTCAAAAGTCTGAAGACAAAACCGTCAGTTCCCCTCAGTTCAAGTGCCACGTCGGCTGCACCAAAAACACGCTGTCGCCATCTTTGTGGAGGATCGGCAAGCATGGAAAATTACTCCTGCAGCCAGAGGAAAAATTAGATGTGGCAACTGATCTCACCTGTGTGGAAGAAGACGGTGAAAAAAATGACCACGAGGCTTTTGGCAGCTCAAAGCAGGCAAACTGTCCTGCAACGGCTGATGTTTTACTATCAGCTAGAAGTCTTAAATTAGACCAGATGTTCTGTCAGCATAGCAAGAACGACCTGGAAAGCAGGAGTTTACACGCCAAAACAAACCAAAATTCTCCATCAGTGAGAAAAATGTCAACACCTTTGCAAAACACTATCGACAACATGAATGGTAATATATTGCCAAGGCTTAGCCGGAGGCGTAAGAAACATTTTGGAGTTGGAGAGCTGGAGAAAGGCTGTGAGGGCGGCCATAACTTCAGTGATGACACCAGCAGAGCCACAGGCAGCTTCTTGGAAAGCAGTGAGAGAGAAAGGAACCCGTACGCTCGGAAGTATTTCAGAAAGAGGCAGAGGTTTTCAGCCAAAGACCAAAGCCCCCATAAGCTCACGGATGAAGATGACGGAGATGAAGACTGCAGTGACATAGAGCAACTCATAATCAAGGAGGAGTATATCGAAACCACAGTGTGTGATGATTCCCCAGAGTCGCCTTGTACGTCTACGAGTGACGGCTTTGTTGTTTCCCCTTCTCAAGTGGTAGAGCACAAGCTCTGTCCGTACTGCCCAGCCATCTTTGAGTCTGGAGTGGGTCTGTCCAATCACGTGCGAGGGCACCTTCATCGCGTGGGCTTGAGCTATAACGCTCGGCACATGGTTTCGCCGGAGCAAGTGGCGCTGCGGGATCATCAGCCGCGAACCCGCAGAAGGATCCCCGCCGGCATGAGGAAAATGAGAAGAGGTACGAGCTTTATTTCAACTATTGTTACAGGCAATTAAACGATCAGAACTCAAACAAAGGAGATATGAATGAGTGTTTGATAAACCCCTCCCCCAAAAAGCAACTGTCCAGACATAGTTTAGCAACCGACAGGCACAGCAGGCCTGTCTAGCCTTTTTCAAAACCAAAAATACACAAGTTTAAGAAATGGATTAAACAGCATTGTTTACCTGCTCCAACATTAGTCCTTCCAGCTACCTAGCGTACTACCAAGAGTCAGACGCTACCCAGTGTTACCTCCAAGGCCTCGCATTTCATACTAGATTATCTTGTGGTGTACAGGTTATGTTAAAAAGAAAAAAGAAAAAGCCCAATTCACTGCCGGCACTTCCACTGTGTAGTATTTCCCCACCGTACAGGAGCAGGTTCTGGATGCTATTATATCAGAGTTGTGGACCAATGTTTGCAGCTCTGTCCGCTCTTTATTCTGTTCATCCTGAACATCCTACTGTTCTCCTGTGAAAAGTGAGACAAACAAAAGAGGAAGCATCATGAACTCTGTATTCCAAGGCAAGTTATATAAGCTAAGTAGCTAAACAGGGTTAAGAATGAAAATTGTCTCACATGATATTAGGACCAAGTAGCTCTACAATGCAATATAGGAAAAATGCTGTGTCTTATAGTTTCTCTGGATCATTCACTAATGAGAATGCTATCTTTAGCCTCAGTCTTTTATCACAATATCATGTATGTTGCCCTCGAGTTTTACAAGGCAGCATTGTCACCCAACTCATGGACCTATCATTATCTTAATAAGCTTTCTACAGTTGATAAAATCTGCCAGCAAGAGTTTTCATCTCGTTGGTGAGAAAGTAAGAAGCACTTTTGTCTAGCTCCGTCTGAAATGAAGGACCCATTATTTTGAAAATCACTATAAATTTCAAGCGGCAAATTTGTCTGGTTGTCATTATAAACAACGTATGTGCCATGTGAGAATTGAAAGAGGCATAGCAACAGTAACCAACGGGGGCGGGGCTTGGTGAATGGCAATTGTCAGCTTACTCAGATTTTGGGTGAACTTATATTCAGCTGTAAGACAGATTTAGCCTTGTTTTTTAGCATGGCTGCTGTAATTTCTTTGCTAATGCATGATAATTAAAGTCACAGCTGCAGTACGGGATACTGTTTTGATCCTTACATTTCAATTATTGTGACAAACTTTATCTTATAATACAGCTGTTAAGCCAGAAACAAAAGGAGAGCACACATGTCCCCTGTGCTGGGGTTGGTTTGATACTAAGACTGGCCTCTCCAACCATGTGAGGGGACACCTGAAACGAATAGGCAGAAGTGTTACCAGCACCAGTAAGTCCCCGCTGTGCATCCTAAATGAGCTGCTACAGGACAAAAAGGAACATGGGAACATACTGCAGATCCTAAACAAGGACCACTTCCCTCCAGGACCTTCAGCCTCTCAGAAGTTCATCAGCAGCAGCGGCCTGGTCTTGATGCGCGCGGCACTACCAGTGACACTCCAGTATGAGATGAAGCGTCCATATGCCATAGGGGATAGATTTGTACCAAAGCAGGAGGCACAGGCCTTCTCAGAGAGGAATAAGCCACAAGCAGAAGCACATACGGAACTGAAGGCCTCCTCAAGCACTTTAGTTGAACTGCTAAAGACGAGACGGGGAAGTGCGGCGCTCACAGCGAGAAACAACCGGGACGCCCATGCAGCCAGGAAGCTCTGTGTTATGACCAAAGATTACAAGGAGGAGACACAGATGACAGGTGTGGAGCCCGCCTGGACTCACGGTATGGAGGCCTAGGCTTTGAGCTTGAGAGCAGTTTCATGGCTGAGCAGGTTTTGTATGTTTTAGCACATGAGTAGAACTGAACTCCGCAGATACAGTGACTTACATCACTGCCAAAACACCTCAGGTAAGTTTTGAGTCCCTGCAAGTTGATTTTCACACTGTAGGAACTACAGTAGGAGATTAAATTACATTTGTGAAATTGGTTAAATTGGTAAAATTATACTATATTTGTAAATATTTTTGCAAAATCCCTCATAGACATAAGAAGGACTTCAAGAAATATAAAGTCATTTACTACTGAGTTGAATCATTCGTGTGTTAAATCTATGCGAATGTGCAGAACATGTATTTTGTGCGAGTTGCTTTGTTGTTAACAGTGGCTAAAGTTCATAAGTTATTCTCACCAAATACACGTATATCCCTTAAATGATTTATAATAATACATTAGTTATGGTCACTTGCTCATTTTATCATCATCAGTAGAATAGCAGTGTCTGAATTGCTTGATGGGACACTGTATCTTAAAGTACAATAGTTAGAATAGAGTTATTTAACTGCATACTATTCATCTCCTGTGTCTGGTGCTTAATTTGAATTGCAGCAGGTGCATTATATTTTATACCTTTTGCTTGACAACACTATTTTGGAACAGGAGATTTTGGCATCATCAATCAAAGAAAAGTGCAATATTTTACCCCCGAACCCGGAGATCTGGCAGTGAAAAGACTTGACAATGCCATAATGACGGTAAAGTAGAATCAAACTGCTCGTATTGTTTCCCCTTATTATCAGTAGAGGAGCATTTGAGCTTTGTTTGACTGAAGAGGAATGCACCACGTATTGTAATGGGGATAGCATTTTTTTTAATCAATATTTTATCACCAATTTACAGTTTCTCAGTACAGATACCTGTATTCTGCAGGGGGAAGCCGGTTAAACAATGTGAGAATGGTTCACAATCATTTGATTTGTGGGAGAAAGAAAACAACACATATTGTCGATTGAATGTCACCAAAGTGTTTTTGAAGTTCATATTAAAAAATCATGAGATTCTCTTGATGTCGAGTTGGAAGCCCGTCATCCGTGTTTGCACGATTTTGATTAATGTCTGTCCAAATCAAACTTTCAGTCAGGGACTGAGAAAGACGTTGGTGAAGATTTAGAATCAAACTGCTCTTTGTTGAGTTTTATTTTAAACTGAATATTACAGCGCTTGTCATTATTGTAGTGTTATAGTGGCAGCTTAAATGTACTCCCAAAGATGGCTGTCTGCTCTGTGTCCTGCCCTGAAAACTGATTTGGATTCCGGTTTCTATTATACTATTAGATACATTATATTACACCATTTTTAATCAACATTTATATTATTTATATGAAGAAAATCAATGGGACACTGTTTTTATCTCTTCTTTAAGCTGAAATTACTTTAAAAAAATCAAATCAGGTTATTTAATTTTAATGTTTAATGTTTTGGGAAAACCACTTAACCATCCCATTTCTGAGTATTTATTAACAAGTAATGGAGTGCAGCAGTATCGCTGCTGGTTTTCTGTTATAAGACTAACAGATCTGTGATTTTTTTTATTTATTTATTTTTTGTGTGTAGTTTATGAATCCTGCGTGACTCTCATGAGGTGGTGTATGTGAAAATGGCCCCCCTGAAGACACAAGATTGTGTTAAACTTTACCAGTAACACTTTTCAAACAGGAGAGTGCAAATCAGATGTTTGCAATGAAACCAGGTGGAAGAAGACTTAAGATCACACTGGGACTAACAGTTTTTGCCTGATAATAAAATTACTGCATGAACTCAAAACGCTATCCTACAGTGCCTCTCTCCTTAAAATGCTATGTAACTTTTGATGATCCTAAACCTTGATTTAAGGCATAAGTGTCAGATAAAAAGTCTCAAAGTGAACATCATCCAATCCTAATTCCCATTAAAGCATAAAGACGAAGCAGGTGGAAAATATAACCACACCCATTCGCCTTTTTTCCCCCTTGAGTTTAATTTATTTTTTCCATGTTCTATCTTTCAGGGGAATGTGATTCAAGTGAGATTTGTATTGAGTGTAACAGCAACTTCCCCACTGCTGTCAGTCTGTCTGGTCATCTTCAGGCCTATGCATGCAGGAAGAGGATTGCTGTATTTGAAGAACCTGGTAAGTTTCTGAAAAAGGAAAAATGTCACGCAATAAAAACTGTAGAAAAAATGTCAAAATGTAAGATTAACATAGATTAAGTGGCTCGATCTGCGGAGCAAAATTAAGAAGAATATTTTGGATGAATGCTGCATTGGGAGACATTAGAAGAATTTGTCTCTCACACAGACATACATCTCACTTTAAAAAATGAGATGTTGACTAGAATAGATTATTGGCTGTGCGATTATTTATTTATATTTTGCCTGTCAGTGATAACCTAATACATTGCCTCAGATAAAGCAGTGTGCTGTTTTGTATTTTAGGCTATGATTATAAGCAGAAGAAGCCGAGACCAAGGCCTGGGCTGAAAAAGAAGATTTTACCCTCCTTGAACTCTCAGATTTACACACTCACCTGCAGGTACAAAGAATGGAAGGTTACATGTGTAGGCAGCGAGAAATCTCTCCACCCAGATACAGATTTCATACACAGGTACAGGACCGATAGCTCATCGGCCATGCGACTGGAAGACATGTAAAATACAGTTAATGGTTTCCGTATCTGTGCGGCTGCAAAGGTCTGCACGGGCCTCAGTTCAGACGTCCATATACGGCCTAAAATGTGTGACTGTGTGGAATGTGTGTGCTGCAAGTGCATCAACTGTGCATGCGCTAGCAAAGCCAGCTGGATGCTTGTTGCTGCTGGCCAAAGTAAGCCACGGAGGAACAACCACAAAAACCAACAAAACATTTGGAACAACAAACTTAATCAGACCGGTAAAACACCACCACCACCCCGCTCAACATGTCCAATTTCAAGAAGCTAGCAAAGGCAAAGCGGCTAAAACTAGCGCCACGCCGCTTACCTCACCTGTGCATGTGTGGATCCAAAAAGTGAAGATTTATAACCAGAAATTATTTTTGTTTCCCCTTATTCGTAGAGAGAGAGAGGGAGAGAGAGAGAGAGAGAGACCCCCTCACCTTGTAACTTAATACTTAATAGTGACTGTTTTATTATGAACATACATTTGAGCTGTATTGATTGAAAATCAGAATCGGCCAAAACTGGAATCAACAGGCCAGACTCTTAAAAAAATATCAGAAAGGGGAACCAGCCAAGAAAATCCCCGACGATGAGGGGCACCCCGGAGCTAGAAAGGTTGCGGCCTTTCAACCACAGCTATTGCACCTATCCTCTCCCAGATTCCAGGCCCATATCCGCCTAAACAACGGGCCGCACCACATGCGATATCTGAAATGTCACAAAAGCAACAACTCATTTCAGAGTGCAAACATGGAAGCAGTTTTCCTGCGAGAGGTTTATAGTCTGCAGCTGCTTGGGAAACCACTCAACTGGCTTAAGGGTGAGACACTGTCAAGACACCGTGTAGTCAGTAGACAACAGCTTCCCTTCTTCAGAGCAAATTGAGGACATCTACGAACTCCCTTTTCAGAGTAATACACTAGGCACATCACCTGACCCAGGCCACTCCCTATACATATGGAATCTGTAACTGAGGGGTGGAGAGCTCTTAATACAACAGAGAACATCTTACATTTTCTGACTGGAGGAAAATGTTTGTGTGTAGTAGCAGTGACTGTTTCTCCCTTTCTTTACCTTCGCAGATTCTGTGACCTGGTCTTCCAGGGTCCCCTGTCCATCCAGGAGGACTGGATCAAGCATTTACAGAGGCACCTTCTGCACACTGACGTGCCCCACTCAGGAACAGGGATGGTGGAGGTTTTGGGTCTTCGACACAAAATACAAATAAGCATGACTCAAGAGCACCCAGGCACTGTGTAGAGTTGCACCAGCCTGGAATGTGAAATCTGAATTTGCACAATATTTAATACCACTTATTATTTTAGAGTAATCTGCAACTGCTGATAGAAGTATATAATAGTTAATTCAGACTACTTCATAATCTTATATATAAATAATATTGTATATATAAGCAATAACTTTATTATAGGATATTACAATGCTATGCTTTGCCTTATCCACTTAGTTAATACAACTTTTAAGATTTATCTTTTAGGATCTATCTATCTAGTTTAATTTGAACATAACAGTGGCAAAAGATAAACGTATTTCTCCAACTCAAGCTGGTCTGTTTGTCATGATAAGAAAAAAGTGCCTTGTTATTATGACAAACTAGTTTGTAAAAATGAGAAAAGATTAGAATTATAAAATGAAAAAATTATCCAAATATCTGACTTTCTATGCCAAAAACTGAAAAAAAAATCTCAATATCTTACTTTTTATAAGAAACTTTTTGCCATAAGAGGAATATTGCCACTGCTATATTGAATGACGGTCATGTCTCACTTTCTCTTAGAACCAACATAAAATAAATAGTGTGCTCTTGTTAAGCAGTGTACAAGGGGCTGTCATTAGTTTGCGGATGCTTTGTAGGATCTCACCTCTCTGTGCCTGTAGCAGAGAGAGTCCTCTTAATCAAAGTGACATTCAACATGCTGCATTATGTTGGGACAACTTGCTCCGTCATTGTTTGTTCTGCTGCTCAACCTTCAACCATCACTGCAATTTCTGAAACCTGGCCCTCGTCACGGCTGCGATATCAGCCTCTTTTTTTCGTGATCTAGTTATCACGAGAAAAACTTTACAGTTATAACGATATATTGTTATTTTTTTCCGCTCATTGTTGCAGCTCTGTATGTCTGAAGGCTTTGGTTCTCACGTGAGGAAGGATGTCTTGTAATTAGTGACATATTTGCACTGAACATATACAGAACGTGCCCGTAACCTGTCCTCCAAACTTTAACACAATTCCTCACAACTTGGTGCTTATTTTGCCGCTTAGCAGAGACAGTTTCATACTTTCAGACAGGAGAACGGGCTATGCAATGCACAAAGATGGCATATCAGTTTCAACTGGTGCACTTAAATTCTAATTTTTCTATTTTTTCTTCTTCTTTTATTTTTTTTACATTTCCACTGTTCAACTAATCAAGCAGGGAAGAAGGCATCATTTTTTCCTGTGTGTACATTGTATATATCAGCTACAGTTTGTCCTCCTTAACGCACCCACTGTATGTGGTTGAGTCAGCTGAACGCATTATCAAAAAAATTCACCCCACACTTCAAAAAGTTTGATTAATCCATATAGAAAGAGAAAATCATTATTATACATTCAGTTGTCAGTTGTGAAGTCTAATCCAGCAGCCCTGCAGTAAACCCTGCTTCATGGAGGTTAAAATGTTCAGCTTGAGTCGAGTCGAGTCGAGTAGTTTGCGGTACGGTTGAACTGCATGTGTTATGTTGACAGGTGTTCCTATTATTTTGCCCACTCCATACAAATCAATGAGCGAGGGGCCAAACAACAGGCACACCTCTCTGTATAATGCAATAAGATTCAACAGCAGCACAAATTACAGCCTCCAAAATGATCACATTATCGAGTCAACACAATTCGAACTCAACACTATAACCTTCATGGAGGAGGATTTACTGCAGGACTGTTGGCTTCGACTGCATTCGTTTTTAGCAAGGTGTTCCTGATAAACTGCCAACTGAGTGTATTGAACGAATGTAAATGTATATATTGCTTCCCAGTTTTTCACATTTCACACTGTAAAACTTTAACTAAATTAAAGAAATATTTACTCTGGTTGTATGACCAGATGTCATAAAAGATTAGGCATTTTATGTATTTATTTATCTATCTATTTTTCTTTGAAATATTCAACTTGTTACACTTGAGAGTTTAAAATTGTAGCACTTCGAAATATACTGTAATACCCTGATTTGTATTATTAGCATACAAGTTATCAAATTATGTAATAATTTCTATATAATATATATCTCCTCTACAGAGCTTTGATTGTTTTTAGATTTCAAGTTTAACTTAGAAATCAGTGGCATTAATAAACAACATGCATGATACAAAGCGTCACTACTATAAATTTAGTGAATTATACTTAATCAGCCAAACATACAAAATCATTAGTCAGTGTTGCTGAGTTAAATGAACAATGGGATGTTGATGTTAGTAGTAGCTCGTGGGAACTGGTTGGTAATAATAGTTTTTGGTGAAGTGGACAAAAGGTTTGACAAGTGTGTGAAACAGTTCGGCAAAGTGTCTGATGTTTACGTAGAACAAAAGACTTTGGATATACAGTTGAAGCCTGATAGTCATGGCGATTGATCGGTGGAAACAAATGGACACATTTTTTTTGTTTTATGTGGAGCTCAAAAGCAAAAACACGGGAAGGTTAAAACTGAACCTTTCTGCAGCTTTACACAGAAACAAGAAAATACTATGGATCACACTAAAATTAAAGTGTAACATCTGCAATGACTCTGTTGTATTTCCAGGATTATCTTTGTTTGGTTTTGCTATATGTGTATTGGTATAGTGTTGTCATCATCATCATCCTCAGCAAGAAAAAGAGAATATGTGAACACTGGTTTAATAGGTGATGTGTGGGAGGTACACTGCAGTAATGATATGGTAGCAAAATAAAAACACAATGAATTTCTGGTAGATTTTATGGAAGAAAACGCAAAGTTGTCGAGTGTTCGTCATGTGATCTGTTACTCCCTGTTCTTACTTCACTGCCTACAGTTGTGTCGATGGCCGTGTTGTTGTAGCCGTAGCATAAACAAACTCAAACAACAGACTAATTAGTTGAGGTTAAAACTCATTTCATATCAAGGGGAAAGTATCTGATAAACTTTAATTACAGAGTTTCGGCAGCAGCTGGAGTCGCCCCTCTCCGTTGTTTAAAGGTGTGTTATGTGATAACGAACTGTTCCCCCCCGCCCGCGAAACATGATCCAGTTTTATTTGTTATGTTTAACAATAATTTAGTTGCAAACCTTTCGGGTAAAAAGATACAGATTCCAGTGTCACTTTGCACCATAATTCCCATCAGGAAGTAATTTTTAGGGCTATGTGCTATTTTAAACTCCGGTTTGTAGCTTTACAGGCTGAGTGTTTGATGTATCCAGTGCTTGATAGCCACTTCTGGGTTTTCTACTTACCAGTGGCAAAGGGGGCTAACCCTGCAGTTTATCTTGGGCAGTATTTAAAGCAGCGATCAAAGCTGTACAAACCAATTGTCATCATGCTTCTCCGGAGGGAATTTTGAAGTACATTAATGCTCCTTCTTTGGGAAATAATTGTGCCACTCTGTGACTTCATTAGGTCTCCTGGCTGTTTCAAAAGATGTTCTCTCTGGAGGTTGAAAGCCACATCGCTGGCAGACAGCATCCCAAGGGGCCGAATGAATAAAAAAGGAGAGATTATAATGAGATTGAGTTAGCCATGACCAGAATTGGGCTTTTCATTATTCCACTGGCTGGAGAAAGAGAGAGAGAGAGAGAGAGAGGGAGAGGGAGAGAGAAAGAGGGACAAGGCTGACATAAAGAAATGTGTTGTTTCAGGACGCACACTTGCCATCTGCCATGGGGGTCCAATGGTAGGCAGCCACTGCATGCTTATCATTGCCATGGGTATCAAAGGGGGCCTCCTCTCTGGAGATTGCTCCATTAAAACTGCAAATGCCAAACCCCTGTACACACAAAACAGAGACAACCTGCACTTCAGTCAAAAGTAACACTTGCTATTGATTTAGCAAAAATTAAAATGAGAGGAACCACTGGGAGAAAAAAAAACTTGACTTATGTTTGTATATTAGCGCCTGAAATATATTTTAAACTCAGAGTTATTTAATGAAAATAGTACCAGTTTGTTTTTATAATGTGTGTTGCAGCGTCCTGAGATGAGTGCACCAACTATTAGGACTTTTTTCTGTCAGCCAGTCTCATGTTTTTCCCCCCATTCATTGTCTGTGGCAGCAGAGATCCGGAGATCAGGACCATTGATCATGACCCGTCCTTTGACCAGTTATCCATAAGTCTCACAGACTGCCTGTGTGAAAAAGAAAAAAAAGAAAAAGGAAAAAAGAAGAAAAATCAATAGGTTTCCATTATCTGGTTGGGCAGTGTCACTGGCCTGTCAATGATCCTGTTACAGCGGTGGTACAAGGGTGACACAGGCCCACACTCAGTCGCTGCTGACAAGAGGAAAACATGCTGACAGGCACCGGGAACAAGTTGGAACACAGATTTGCACTTCAAGCAGCCGTCCGAGGAGGTATCGTGCAAGGCCACCACGCGGCAAGGGGCGAGCTCGGTTGGGGTGGGGTGGAGGGGGTTGAGTGGGTGGGAAGGAGGGGATGAGAGAGAGAGGGGGTGGGTGGGTGGGGGGGATTCCCAGCCAGCCTCCTTCTACTGTCTGACTGTCTAGCTCTCTACCACAAATGCTTTTATCCTCCTATAAATTATTCACCTCTGGATACAGCAAAGGAAACTCGGTTGCACTGATTGTGGCTGAGGGGAAATTCATGAAACCTATGGCCCAGTCTACATCCAGAGCTCGGCCACTCAACTCATGCAGACCCTACCTATGCTATATAATGTATGTGTAGCATACATATAAAATACAATGCAAAGATTTTTTTATTTTCTTTTTCAAATCATCATGTAGGGAAGTTTCAGGGCATATGTCAGTTTTATGGCAAATGGTCACTTTCATACTCATGAGCTGACTCATTAGCTCTTTGACATATTAGCTCTTCACCTACAAAGAAAACAGGAGTCTCCCCTCATCAGTCAGTCCAGATGGCCAGTCAGAAATTAAGGAAGACATCAACTGTCTCTTGAAACAACATGAATCAATATATTTTGACAAGGATCAAATGTGCCTCAGATGAACCTCTTGGCCCTCCCAAAACAATCTTTCTCCTCTTGTCAAACCTCTTTATTTTTGTTTGTCCACATGAAACGATCACACATCCCGTGACTCATGATTTTTGAGCTGGCTTTCAGCAACGTAATTTAATATTTAACACCTGAAACTCTCAGCTTTTACCTTTTTAAA